ATTCAACTCAGTTGATATTCCCACGAAAACTCCATTAGACCCAAAGTGAGGAACATGTGGAGCCCTTAGTTGGTCATTCTTCTCAGAAAGCATTGAATGAGATACAAATGTTATCACGTGCTCTTTCAGAACTTCCTCTTTCCCAGCTGTTATGCAGATGAACCCTCTCTGGCTCTCCCTTCACGTCTCTTTAATTTCTGGGACATTTCAATTTTTAACATCTCATCTCGCAAGTTACCACTAATTAAACATGCTATAAAATCTGAAGGGATGGGTGAAATTAGTCCGGAGTTGGACTGGCACGAGCACTTCCTACGGTAATAATTAAGTTAATAATTTTTAGTGCAACGAAAGCCCCCCCTCCCTTTTTTAAGGAACATAGTGGAATTTTGGAGAATAATTTTTTTTTTTCAATAATAGGTGGGAGTTGAATTTTTTATTAATTAAACATAAATTCTAAGGGTTGAAAATTAATTATTGAATTTGAAAACTCAATTGGAATGCAACGAACTAATTAATACGTACAATAACAATAAAAAAATATCTTTACTAATTGGATATATTAGTAAGGAGTAATGATCTGTGGGACGATTTGGGGGCGATAAATGAAACAGTTTCAACAGCAATTATCAATTTGACCCTACTTTCACTTGTCGTCTCCAAAATCATCCCATAAATTCGTCCCGCAGATCATTACTCATTAGTAAGTATTATGTTATAAATTAAATTTAAAATTTAAAATTTAAAACTAACATATAAGATAATTAATTTTTTGAATATATTAAATTAATATAAGATGCACTTTTAAAATTGTTTGAAAAGTAATTAGAGTACTTGGAAAGTAAATCAATGATGTTTTAACTACAAATACTAACAAAAAAAATAATAAAATAATATAATTATAATGTTAGGTGTGATAAATATTTTACAAGTCATGATGAATATATGATTTTGTTATTTATACTATATACTTTATAATTATAACATTAAAATTATAATATTATCCTAACAATAATGGTTTGTATTCGAGCCGTTGTGTTGAGTAACTCTTACTGTTTTATTAAGGCACAATTTTCTATTTGCCTTGGGTTGAGTTCAAACTCATAATACCTTGTGTTAAAAAAAAAAAAAGAAAACAATAATGGTTTGCTAGTTCTAGATTGGGCCTATAAGGCTTGTTTGGATCTATACCCAACGAAATGATAAGCCGATGATACTCGGGTCAGACCATTACAATTTTTTCTTCTTTTATAAGTCCTCCCTGCCCCTTTACCATCCTCCTGTACTGGAGGCGGAATTTTGTTGGGACCCTTGATGTAGCTATTAATGCATTTTGACAACTTTATAAAATGACGTTACCAGGCAAAATGACAGAAATTTGAAATTAAATATTTTAATTGTCATTATTTAAATAATTTAATAATAATTTTTAATTAAAAATTTTGAAATTTAAATTATATAAATTAAATGATTTTTTTAAAGAGAAAATATCTTTTATTTTACAACTAAAAATTAAAAAAAAAACATAGAATTAGAGATTTTAATTCATATATTAAAATAGCAAAATAACAACAAAAGGGCTTTCTAAAAGGAGGATTATTCAGATCTAACTTTATTTATTGCATTGTTATTATTATTACTTTTTTTTTTATTTTGGTAACATAATGAGAAACAATCATCTCTTATTTACTTCTAACAGAAAAAAATAATTATTAAAATATTTAAGTCGTTAACTGCATTATTATTTTTAAAATAATAAATGACAATTTTATTTCTTTAAAGTACAAAAAAATACTTTAATTTATTCGTCATTGGTTATCTTTCATTTATTGCATTATTTTGGCGAAATATCTACGAAAACCCTTTTGGACAACTTATAATTAATTCATAATCATTTGTATCTGTTTCTAAAAATGATAAAAAGCCCACACAGGATGCAAGTCTTTGTTTAACATTCTCGTTCTTAATTGCTGTCACGTCAAGGATAAAATACACGATTCGGACAAGCCAAACCAGCATCCTTGATTGTTTAGAGATATGCATACCAGGATGTGTTATCACTATATAATATTTAACATTCTTGTTGTATGGCTGTCGTACATGTAAAGGATTCTTGAATTCACATTGTAAGTTAGAAAGTCGTATACATCCAACATAAAGCTAAAGAATTTAATATTCATAAGATGTAAAAATGTAACATCCACTAAATAGAGAATGATAATATTATAATATTTTTGATGATTTAAATAAATAATTAATAATTTTTTTGGTAAAAATAAAAAATTTTAAAATTTAAATTATATGATATGTTGATCAAATAAGATAAAAAATAAAAAAATTGATTTTTATTATACAACTAATATAAAAAATATATATCTAATGTTATAATATTGTTCCGTTCAACTGTTTTACAAAAGGTTTAGAACATAGTTGAAATCATAGACGTACAACATCACAAATTCATAAGCAATCCTGCAAAATACCTAGAATCCTGAGTCATAGGACCACAAATTAAAAGGTGCTGACTCTTCTACAGAGTCCAGAAGATAAAGATCATGCCTCGTAAAATCAAAGTTGTAATCCAGACCCAACTCTGTCCCTAAATTATTCAACCACTCTTGACTTGCTAGTCTGGCTTTCCAGTTCTGCTGGGGAGAAGCTAAACCAATTTGCCAAGAACTGGCTGGATAGCAAGGTAACTCGAACGGATCAGAATCATAATTTTGCTCTGTTTTTAACCCAACAGGCTTGGCATCTGCTGTACCTTCTGTTGAAATGCTATGTGGAAAATGAATTTCTTTCGTGTCCCTTGAAAGCTCGAACTCTGTTTCTTCATTCTTTAAGGTAGTCTGAACCTCAAAATAATCTGGATGCTTGTATTTATACTCCATGGTCTCTGTTTCTCCTGTAGTACCCTGCATCAGCTCCCCTGTTTCCTCTTTCTTCCTGACTTCAGAACATTCAGGTTTTTCGTCACCCAAGCTATCACTCCTCGAAGGCGAAGTGAACTCCATCTCCGCGGATGATGTTTTGTTATCAGCTGAAGCTGAAACTTTGTCGAAGGAAACCATGGATCCCCGGGAGTAATTAGGAAAGTTGAGGCGTGCAAATGGACCGTACATAGCTTTAGCTGCTTCATCATACGCAAGGGCAGCTTCAATAGGATTAGAGAACGTCCCAAGCCAAAGCCTACTATTCCCTTTAGTCGGTTGTCTTCCACGGCTAACAGGTTCCCGAATTTCAGCCACCCACTTCCCCCAAACTCTCTGCCTTACACCTCTATACCTACATCCTGCGTTCTCTGGCCCTCCTTTCCCTCTCATGCACCCCTTCTTAGATCCTTTGGCTGGAACCTTAACCACCCTTCTTCTAACACCATCCTCTTCACCACAATCAGCTTTGTTGTTGTCGTTCAACTCCCTCCACTTCTCAAGTGTATCTTGCACCGATTCACCAACGTTTCGCCTCCTCCGCCGCTTCTTATTGCTAACGGCGACACCGGAACTCTGTAGTGAAGGGCTGTGCTCGTTATTGCTATTCTTTGAACTCATTACCGACTCAAAAGTAGCTTCCATAACTCGATAATACAAAAAGGGGAACTGGGACAAGAGTAAGCAGATGAAGGAGGAAATGGGGAAGACTTTATCTGTGGGTTTATGGTTTATTTATGGTTTATCTCGTCAGTATTTATCTTAGACAGCAAGAAAGGCGGCGGTTGTTGGATAGGATCCTATGATTCCCAGGACTAGAAATTTATGGAGATATTTTCTGTTTTTGGTATATTCCCGAAACTGGTACTGACGCGGTTTTGCAGACGTGGCTAGAGCTAGCCTAGCTGTTTGGCATGGTCTCGTTTCCTTGGCGATGAAGATTGGCCTTTCTTTTTCCAGAAAAGCCAATTCCATCTCAACGTTTCTACCCTTAACAGAAAAGTAACCGCTTTTAAAATTTTTGTTTTCCTTGTCCCGTGGGGAGAACACAGGAAAGTTTTTCAATGTGCTTTACAGTTAACTACGAGAGGAACTAAGTAGAGTAGCCTATCCAAACCAAACGGCCTGAGGAGGCCTCGAAAGTTCTCGGCTCCTGGCTAGCCACCAAGAGGCCCAATGGGCCAATTAAAACGGCCTTTCCGTTGCAGCAAGGGTCATACTTTTTCTTTTTTTTTTTTAATATTAAAAAATTAGTTACTTAACTATATAGAAATTTGAGTTTGATCTTAACTCCAAATCAAAAATTTTTAAATTAGTAAATTCTAACTCAGGCATGCTCTCATTGGTTTGGAGGTCTAACAAAACAGAGACTTCAAAGTTCAGAGAGAAAAGATAGAAAAATATGGAAAAATATACAAATACAAAGGGATAATAACGTTTTAAGGGTACACAACCCATAAATAGATGGAAGCTTCAAAATTCAAATCCACCACTACCTCAAAAGACCACCAAGATTTCTGATCATGGAGCATCAGCAGCTGCTGCGTTGTTTTTCTGCTAAACCATGCTAAGGGTCAACAAAAAGGAATCTGACCTCATGAAGCATTGAAATTGATAATCTTCTGAATGTCAGCTCCAAGATACGCACCAGATTCACCCCCTTCCAAGATACGTCCCGTTCCCTGTTTTCTAAAATTAAAAACAAGGAACTACAAGCAAGAAGAACAAAAAATGAGATTAGTGGATTGAGTTGTTTTTCTTTACTTTTGTTTTTACTAATTTGTCACTAAATCTAGCTTATTAACATGGAACGAAGTCATAAAACATATAAACAAGCATAACCCTCTGCACTAGCATATCATTAAATGGCACTTCCTACATTCCTTCAATTTCTCAACTTTCATTCCAGGATTCTCATATCTGATCAGAAAATGTAGATAACAACCAGAACATTATTTTCTATCATCCCAATAGCAAAAACAAATGATATTCCTTAACACTTATCAAAATGCTTTTAAAGTGGTGTGAGTCTAGGAATAATTAACAAAAATGGTAATAACCAGAAGAACACATGAGCTAAAACTAGGAATATAACATCATGCATGCTTAAAAGAAATGAAGGAAACTGTCTTTTACTTTAAGTGTAGTAAAACTGCAACATAGATGTCTGACATAGCTGATAAATAGAAATCTTGCTATCAAGTATCAATGATTTCAATTCCTTGCATCAATAGCATAACCAGTTCAACTTCTATGGAAACCAATGAAAATCCACTATTGTTTTAGCATTACGCTAGCTTGGTAATAAAAAAAAGTGAGAATCTAGAATACCATATTAAGTGAAATCAAGTATCACAAATTATAAAAAAAAAAAAAATGATTATAAAAATGTTACCTGAGACTAGTAAAGTAATAGTCATTCAACTCCAGCAGATTTTGCAACTTTCAACCTCAACTTCCTATTGTGATTGTCCTGCAAAACTCACTTTAAAAGCCATTAGAGCTACTTCAAGGAAGTAAGATTTTGCCTATGTTATGTAGCTGATAGGGTGATATGTGATAGCCCATATCGGATGGCTGAAAATTGTTGTTGTCCAATAGAGACCAACAACACAGCTTTCTAACAGCTAATCCAAACAGAGCATTCATCACAATACAAAAAGAAACCTAATTTAAGGGCATAGAGGATAAAAATAGCTATGATCTCATCATGTTAAACATATTTGGTAATTCAATTGAAAGCTCCCCAGCTAGTATCTAAGCAAGATGCCACGAATTGCACACATAAATGTTACATAGAAACAGTAAACACAAACAAACCTGCTCAAGAACCTTAGCAGAACTGGCTTCAACGAGCCTGGACAGGCTCTCAAGCTTAGTTAGCATCTTCTCATACAAATGCTCCAACCCGGCTGTGTAATTGGCAGCCTCTGGCCCCATTAACTGGCTTAACCTCCCAATGTCCATCCCCTCCGCGCACATGTCCAAGTCTTCCTGATCCTTTGCCGCCTGCTTTACGCCACTCAAACTGCCCTTATCTCTATCCTCATTCATGGCCGTTGAGTTCTTCAACTCACAGCTCAAAAATGGCAGGGCAGAGCTTGGGCAAAACGACCCATAATGCCCCCTAAACGCAGGCCCAATGTTCACTATATCAATCGAAACAGGACTAAAACACTGTTTCTGTAATTGAAACCGGTATGCGCAATACTGGTTTGTGTGGATTAATTGGTCCTGGAAAGGAGTAGTAAAAAGGAGAAAAATTGAAGGCGGGAAATTGGAACTAAAGTTCGGGTTTTGGATGGGAAGAGATAAATTTGGGATTGAGGAGAGAGAATGGGTGACAGAGAATTCACGCATGGAGGGGCGGATGGGGGTTTTCCGGCGAGAGGAGAACCAACCAATAAGGGGTTTTTGGTTAAGATGAGTGGTGACGAGGGTCGGGTCAACTCGGCCGGCTGAATCGTAGAAGGAGAGGGGAGAGATGAAGCAAAGGAAGCCGGAGATAGTGGCGACAAGCTGCGAATCGGAGGGAGTTTGGGTAGAGTCGTCGGAGAGTGCGGTGGGTGTGATGCTGGCGACATCGCCGAAGAGAAGACCGTCGGCGTCGCCCAAGCAGGAATTGATCCGCTCGATCATGGAGGCCAGTGTGGGGCCTGACACTGCAATTTTCTGCAATGCAAGATCGTCCATGGCGGAGAAACAGAGATGAGGAGATCCTGTGATCGGATGAGCAGATGAATTAACACCAAGTCGTGCTTCAGTTTTTCATTTAATGAAAACAACACCGGTTGATTAATCCGACGTCGTTTCATACTAAAATAGAAAACGCTAAATCTACGGAAAAATTTCTCATC